AAAATTTTGAAAAATTGAGGTAGCTAAGAAGTCTTTTCCTTCATTCTGAGTCGAAATGTGATGCTTTAAAAGTAACCATAGAGTAATCATTAAACCCACTGACCGGAGAAATCCTGGCTCTGCATAGGAATTCCTACTGCTGAAAAGTGTTCGAAGCAAGTGCAAAACGTACAAGGAGTAAATTATATCTAAAGAGATACTTAATTACATATGTACTTGACTAAAACAGCAAGGAACCCTCAATGCGTGAGAAATAATAGCTTCAGCGTGAGAGCGCAAGATTGAATTCGATGCGTGAGGCTCATGTTCAATGCGTGAGACTTCAGAGCACTGTGTCGGCCGACATTGCTGGTGGCGAATTTCAGACAGGGGGCATGGGTACCCCCCTAACAGGGCCTCGCTATAAGGTTTCATAGATAACTTTCCCCACAGGGATATTGTAGATTATTTCATTTCACATTTGCGTAATATTATAAGAAAGGGGATGTGGGGCGGGGGGAATTCTCAATTATCAACGCTGTCTTCTGACGTATTTGACTTGACACGGCATATTTCACACAGTCAGTAAGGGTATTTATTTCTATAAAGTTATGGCCGGTTCATGTACTCAACACAAAGCAAAAACACAAGTCCTTCGTTTCTGTATTTTATTTGTCGGCTCCAGGGTAGTGAATTACCAGGAGATATCACCATTGTTAAGCACGAGAAACCGTAAAAAGCTAGCCAAAATTTCAGCCGTTTTCTCCACAGAAGTCGCTTTCCTCTGAGAACTAAGCTACCAGAGACCAAGATATGCCTAATTAAACTCCTTCACAGCCGTTTTTTGGATGTCACGCAACCCTCTCTTTGGGGGATCGTTGCGTGACATCTTTAAAAACGGCTGCAAAGGAGAGCACGGTATGCCCTGCTAACAGCTGATTTCTCGTTGTACTGAAACGAGGCTGGGAAACACGCTATGTTACGTGCTGTCTCTGCTCCTAGTTAGTAAAGCAAAGATCTGGTAACAGATCTGGATCTGAAGGGACGGATAGACATACGCTAAGGAACCCACAGCTGTTATCATTTATGAACCCTAAATGGGCCCATTTTGTCATAGCATTGTTGAGCCTCCATACATCTCATTAAAATTTTAACGCTCGGAACCAAAGGAACTGTTTTCCAAAAGTGCGTCGATTAATTAAAACTGAAATCTGCAGCTCAGTACGATTTTCGCTTTCTAATCTTTTATTTCCAAGAAAACGGATCCTTAGTGCATTTGCAGTTTCAAGTTAATGATAACGTTCCTAAGTCTTCTTGTTGCGTTACGCAGAAGCGTTGCGTGACGATGCGAAGTGAGCGCGAGGCAATGCCAACTTAGCTCTTGAAGCGTGACAAATCTTTGCTCTTTTTGAGCTTTACGGAACTACTCAGTGTTCCAAAAGACTCAATCGATTATTGCAGCGTTGCCTTGCATCGCAGTTTGCTGTGCCGTACTTCGTCTTGTTTGAAAGATCCTACTACAACCATAGGTTTTTTGACATTTCGTTCGACTGCGTTTCTCAAGAAGGTTGCTCTTTCTTTCTCGCAATAAGCAGATTCACAACTTGGTTGTGTTTTAGAAAGAGTACAGCTTTCTCGTGAGTCACGCGTCTCAGGTTGATTCCATTGACCTGCAAAACAACAAACACATGATAACATATCAACTGCTCGACTTTTCTAGGTAGATGTCATTTCGTTTTTCTTTAGGAAGGAAAACAACAAATAGATTAACAACAAAGAAAACGCCCGGGGGAGACTCTTATATAAGAAGGACGGGGGGACTCGTCGTAGCTTTCAGGGTTTGAAAAAGCGGGTTGGGTATTCCTGGGGTATTCAGCCTCCATACAGCGGGAGGTTCTGTGGTACCTTTTAGGGTATTGAGCCGAAAAAAGTCATTGTCAGGTCTTGTGATGTTTTAGAATAGACCATTTTACAGTTGTCTGCTCGGTGACCTGGCCTTTGGATGGCAGCGAGGTTGGAGTTGACCTTGTTTTGATACAGACCTCACTGCTTTTGTTGTGTAAAACAAGTTGTTCTGATGCTAATTAGGTGCATTTACATGACGAAAGCAGTGAGGTCTGTATCAAAGCAAGGTCAACTTCAGTCTCGCTGCCCTCCAAAGGCCAGGTCACTGAGCAGGCAACTGTAAAATGGTCTATTGGTACCTGTTCGGGGTGAACAAGTTTTCAAGCCACGCCCACAAAACAGGATCTTGGTTCCTCTTAGGGGTTCTTTTCAAAATTTTGACCAGCTTTTCATATGGGAATCTCCTCCCAGGGAGAGGGGGGGGGGGGGATGGCTAAGTTAGAGAGAGATTGAGCTGAACAATGAAGGACTAATCTGATGAGGCTGTAGCAAGAAGGAAGAAGGGTAACAGAGTTAATCTCCAACATAGGCCTTATTTCCAAGGTAACCAGGTCAATTTAATTTTCGATCATTCCCGTTTCGAACAATAGCCAACCCTGCACCATTTATTTCACTCACGTAGACGGCCCAAGAGACTTAGCGCACATTTTTCATCCTTCGCGAAAGCATCCATGTTACGCGCGAGGTAACATCCGAGGGAGGACTGAGCACCATCTCTAAAAATAGCTTGAGAGGGATAACCTTGGTAATAACCTTTCATGCTCTTTTAGCTAAAGAGAATTCTTGATAGAGCGGTTTTCAATTGAGTGTCGTAAAACCAAAACCAAAATAATCACTTTAGCCAATCACAAAGGACACAGACAATACAGTGAACCAATCAAAACTTGAAGTAATTGCACGTAGCTGAAACAAAGCGCGGGAAAACGTGTGTGAACGAGTCACGATTGGTGTTGGTTTTACTTCTGATTGGATGAAAAAGTTGCGCAAGTTTTTTAAGCCACTCGTGTAGCGTAGTAATGCAAAACCAATTACTTTTCGACACTCAAATGAAAACCGCTCTAAACTATGGACAGGATGATTTAACTGACACGTTAAGGCTTTGGAATGTCTAATGAAGTGCTTCCTCACCTCTAGAATTCTGTCTCCAGGAATGAGCCCGTACGATGCTGGCCCATCAGGTTGAACCTTCGTGACATATATGCTCTATGAAACGAAAGTAATCAAATAAAAACATATAATTCTCCTTACGTGTCTCCTTACATTTCTTGTAAAACGAGCTAGTAGAATTTGTTTCACTATCAATGTTATCATCCCCCTTAAGGGATCATTTCTTCAATCTGCGTGACTTGCATGCTTCTTAATTTCAGGATACTACGAAAAAAATTATTCCATGAACCGGTGAATACAATGTGATAAATAACAAACGAAGCGCGTGACGCCAAGATTGTTATAATCACCTCGTGTTCAACAAGGGCGAATAATATAATTGTTTTATTTAGATGTCACAGTTTGATCTAAACGAAGCGATGGTATGAAAAGGCAGGAAAATTTGCCGCACGCGCGTTGTTCACTCTTTGAGTTCAAAACTACTTTCTTCGGTAAATGTTGAAGACTATGGCCGCCATTTTTCACAAACCTTGTTGTCGTTAGGGTGAAAGGGATTTGAACCGGAGTCAATTCCACCAGCTATACTGAAGCCAAGATTAGGATTCTTGTAAACTTCTACTTGAAGCTGTAAAAACAATAAACAAAATGCAATTTACTTTTTCTCTTCTAAAATAACACAAACGACGAATTATGACTCAGTTACATGCAAGAAACAGACCAAAAAGCATTTTCTCCAATTTTCCTATACAATAGTCTTCAACTATTCTGTATCTCCATACATCCTACCATGCCAACCTTACTGTGCTAAAGGAAGCCCTCTGCTCTCCGCAGTTTCTTAACCGCCGTTACTATCGAGCATATTCGCAACTTTCAAAAGTACGAAGTTACGTTTGCTTCGAACTACAATGCTTAAGCGGAGATTTCTGATTGGTTAATAAATAATGGCTCATACAGACCTAAGGCCTTTTTTCCAAACACTATTCAAGGACTTCAGGGATAATTGACAGCAATAATATTCAACAATACGTTTTCCACAAAACCACAAACAAAATTTAAAAGTACCACCACCACCACCACCACCACCACCACCACCACCACCACTACTACTACTAAAAATTCAATGATTTTTGTGGGAAAAAAACCCCAAATTTTCATTTTCAACAACTTCTCAAGAATATGGAAATTTATTAATGGACTTATCAAGGCCTGTGTGAACCATGTACATCACGTGCTACAAACTCGTGTCAATCGGAGAAAACCGATTTTTTTCAACCTATCAGAATAGTTAATCCCACTCTCCCCTCCCTCCCCTCCGCAGAATAAACTTCCTCACCAGTTCTATTGTTGGGTCATTATCGACAGGTTCATCGTCGTCTTGTGATGAATGCAGAGATTGTTCAGAATTGCGAGACTCAGACGAATTACTCCTGTTGAGAACTCGAGGTATCGTCGGGGCAACTTCGTGAGGTCTCCGATTGTCTCCGACGTTCGCTCGTGTTCCGTCAACGCTAACTTCTCCACGCTCCATCGCTCTTTCGCGCTGAAGCTGTCGAACTCTGTTCTCGAATCTCTGCGCGTCTTCCTGCGAAATGTCAAATCTCTGCGAACCATTCATTCCCGGTCTAACTTGAGCAATTGGCTGCCTGCCAACGCTTGAGGGAACTTCCGGTTCCGGTAACACCTGCCGAACCGGAAGTTCCGTAATTACTTCCGGCTGGACCGAGTACTGAGGAGGGGGCGATCTTTCATTTATATTAGTTCCATTCGTAATAACTGCACTGTTGACACCTTGTGAGGTATTCATGACGTGGTGGACAACACCTCCAAGAGGTACTCTGTCGGACTGATTTGTAGCTTCGTAATACGATGGTGGCCTTAAAGGGCCTTGAAGAAAACTAGGTTCTTGCTCGTTAAATGAGTGCATTTCACCTAATTGTCCCGCGTCTGGTGTCCCTGTGGAACTACTCCACAGTCGTGCACCTGGACGTCCGTGAAATGAAGACAGAGAGCTGGGAACTTCTTCCCGGAATGAATGCTGTGTTTCCACTGATGGCCTGCGGTCACCCTCAGGGGGTAGGGGAGGAGAGACTCGGTTTTCCCTTGGGGTGTAGGGTGGGGGTGGTTGATACACAGGTGGGGTGCGATTGACTGGTTCCTCTTGAATAGCAGCTTGTCCCTGAAACAACAAAGAACAGCTTTACCAAAGTGATCAGGAAAAAGTGCCTCAATATGGAAACTGTCCCAAAGCAAACTCCAAGCCCCGTTAATATGGATGCCATATGGTAGTGAGAGCCTTACAATAGATGAATCAGACTAATTGTGTGACGAAAGTCGTTCCTCTGGGCTCACCCCTGAGGGTTCTGGCCTCGTGTACCGGTACTCAAGAACCGATACAAACGACCCAACAATATACAACAGCTACACAAAGGCTCCTAAAGAAAGGAGTACAATGGTTATTCCCTCTGTGTACCGGTACACCAGGACACAACCCCCCGTCGAGTCAATTCTTGATGATGAAAGAGTAACAGAAAAAGCACTTGTGTGTATGTCTGAGACATGTTTGGGCAAAAAATACTTTAGATAAAACAATAGAACCTTCGAGGTTAGAAGCATTCAATAATGCTTCCTTCATCACGTATGACTGGCATACATTGATGCGCAACTTTGTGCTTTCAATTGTTTTGACTGACATGATATTGGACGTTCATAACAACTCAAGGAAAAATCTTCGGCCCGCAATTTAATTTTCGGGTGCAATATTTGTTCGGATTTTTTACGTTGTCAGACGGCTTCAATTCTGAACGTTAGCAAAATCTTTGAAGTTTAAATAGTGTCATTTCTTCAATTCGTTATAATTATCACCATTTTCCAACTCTCTTTTATTGGACATTGTTTTAATTACAAGTTAACACATTGATTTAGTTACCCCGATAAGACGTTCTCCCGGTATACTCCTCACAACCGCCTGTCTTCCTCTCACGTGCTGTGGTTCCATGTTTTGATTACCAGGGCCACTCACCGTATTGCCTCGCTGGGCGATACCAGTCGATATCAATCTTTGATTGCTGCTCAGTGAGTTATTGACAACTGCCACTGGCTGACCTTGTCTTTGCTCTGAGGTTTGAGTCGGAGGGCTTTGAATCTGGAAAAAGAAAGCAAGTCTCAGAAGATTACAATCGACACTGACTGAGAGAAGTCTTTTTTTTGTTCCTTGCTCTTATTAGCGCTTTTAGCTCCAAGGAAATGGGAAAAGAGGGGCTACTCATGTTCGAGATTAGAAGGGTATCTCGCTAGTTATTCAAACGAAAAGGTCATTTTGAAATGTAAATTCGCAAGTAAACAATTCTAAGCTTGAACTGACAGCACAATTTCATCACCGTATATCAATGTTGGTATGCTAATAAACTGATCCAAAACAACTAAAAGTAAATTTCAGTTCCTTTTGGTTATAAAACCTTCTTTGGACAAGAAACTGAAAGAAGTTAATAATATTACAAAATGCTAAGGGCGTTACCCAAGGTTAACATGTGAGCAAAAGTTTAACTTGTCACATTCTTGAAAAAAAGGCAAAATAAAGAAATATATCACATACAGAAAGGGTGTCAAGTAATTTCACTTGACCGTGACGTTATCAAGACATTTACAAATATATTTGAACGCGCTTTATAATGATTTACTATAGCACCGCTATTTTTTCAAATTTTAAATCAAAATAAGCCAATCCAAGGAACATTTTTCGGGCTCAAATAAACTAAAAATAAGGAACGTTCAGCCTCAGTTGGGAAACTAGAAGTTAGGTGTGTATGATGCTGTGGTCCCTTCGAAGTAAGAACAATCTGTTGGTAATGTACTTTTTTCTCTTGAACTAGAACCTGCATGGCAGACATAGAAAGAGAAGAGAAAAGGATAATTCAGACGCAAGAGCAAAACCTGAAGAGACAACGTTTTGTACACTCTCCTCAGCTTTGTACTGGTGCCCAAACTCCCCTTCTCTTCCTCGTTCTATGCCAGCCAAGCAGGCTACTGGAACTGAGAAAGCACAGGAACCAACCTGATCTTCATACCAGGGCACCTCAACTGTACGCACCTCTTGAGGCCTTAATAACTGCGGCTGCTGGCTACGATCTACTGACTGTACCACCACTGTCACGGGTTGCTGTTGACCGGCTTGTTGCTGCTGTTGTGTACTGTTCAAATCTGTAGACTGTAAGAGAAGTTATACCCTGTGTAAAAAGACACCTTACCTTGCACGTCTTGTTTTTCTCCTGTTCAGGAAAAATCTGATATTTGACTTGAAAAAGTACAATATTGATAGCAAGCTATGTGGTGGTCGGTGTTGTGTAGACCCATGTAGAGGAGCCACCAACACTGTCTAATTTATTGGGGGTTATCCGATGGCTGGGAAACTGAATATCAGTTCAGGGCGGTACATAATTTACTGACTGTTGTCTGTTCCTTGCTCCCAGCTTGGTGGAAAAAAGGAAAAGAGGTAAATCTGGGAATCTGGGATAGGAAAGTCCCAATTCTTTTATTTCAGCTTCATCTATAGTAAATTTTAACAGTTCTAGATCCTTAATTACATCTCCCATGGTGAGTGTGAGCATCCTTATTATAGTTTAAAGAATAGTTTTTGTAAAGACATGAATGCGGTGTTCTTTGGCCTGGCAAAATCTCCAGTACAAATTGCAGGTTGCAGAGAAGCAATCCAAAGGGTAATGTATTTCTGTAATTTTTAAGGAAATTTTATATTTAACAGTTATAATGTACAGGTATCACACACTTAGGGCAAAACAGTGTAATTTCTGGTAAGAAAATCCTGGAACACAAGAACGCCTATTTGGCATAAGTGATTCTGGATAGGGTGCATTCATTAGTACACTAGTTTTTAGCCCTTATATCCCAAAAGCAATGAACAACTTGTTTCTGCTTGCAGTAACCAATATAGTGTCTAGTAGACAGGTACTGAGAATAAAAAAATTCATCAGCTAAGAGATGTTGCCGTGATTTACCACTACATTCTCAGAACTGACATTATAAAAATTAAGGGCAGTTAGTGACGAAAATCAACATTTTGAGGTTAGGTTAGTAAAGTGCGTGCAGTTCTCACCGAGTGAGGTTTTCTGTGCTGATACTGGTATCTATACTGGTGCCGTTCTTGCTGATGACACTGGTGCTGTGAGGGTAATACAGGTTGGGTTACCTCTGTCTCCTGTTGTTGTTGCTGCCGTCTGCTTGCAAGATATTGCACTGCACGATCCTTCACATCTTTGGGATAAGGTGATTGATACCGGGCTAACCGTGACTGCAAGAACATATAAACATAGAAAACGATGTTTACTCCCCAGGGAGGGGGGGAACACTCCAAAGCTTTGGGTAGGAGTGTGTCACTGGGAAACTGAAACCCTTACCCTATATTAGACCACTGTTGCCTTGATTTTGCAACGCTATTCTAGACCAGGCACCAAAAACCCCTATCTTATCCCAGACTAGCTATTTTCCATGCAGAACCTAGTCCAATATGTGCTAACTAAGCCAATATCTTACAAAGTCACTTCTGCATTTCAATTATTTCTATCACAGAACCCCGGGTAAAGAACTCTGTTCTGTACAGTGGCCACTTTTCCAATACATTACACCCTATTCTAGACCAAACCTGTCTGATTTCTCTACCCCATCCCAGACTAAAGTGCCTGACCATACCCATATGGCTTATATCTGGGAGTACCCCTTCAGGGTTTACTCTGTAAAAAAAATGACCTTTATTTGTGAAACTCACTTACCAAATAGTCATCTTCATCAATGTTGAACACAATGGAAGATCTTTGCCTGATTTGTTCTTCAAGTAGAGAGGCTGGAATGCTGCCTGCCGAATCCTCACTGTATTGTTCTGAAGGAACTGATGAAAGAGAAATTGTAGGAACAAAAGTGAAGTGAAGGTCTGAACCTTGAAAGTTTAATACTACAACAATTGTAGAACCCATCTATCACTGTAAAATAAGAGGAACACAGGCAAAAAAGGACGGAGGGAGGGAGGGAGGGAGGGACAAGAGAAGGATGCATGGACATGTACAGGATGGAAGGAAGGAAAGGGAGAGAGGAGAAAAGGGTGGACAGATGGATGGGCAGACTGACACCAATATTGCTCATACCATACCTTCGTCAGCAGGAGGCTCTTGTGGAAACATAAAGCATGTCAGCACATGTGACTGAGTTCCATGATCAAAATCAGACTGTAGAGGAACCATTGGCTTGGACTGAAACAGAAAGCCAAAAGATTTATCTACTGAACAACAATTACGTTTATTAAGTTACCATTGATTTATGAATTGAGAAAAGGTGATTTTAGAGACACCCTCTGCTACCTGGTTTTCTGAAAGCCATAGAGCTTTTAAACTGGTCAGCTTTCTGAAAGTATATGGCAAACATTCTAATCTGTTGATTAAGAGTAAAGAACAAGTTAAGATCAAATGAGTACTTGTGGAATCACTAATCATCACAGTGGAATGTTAAAGCTGGTGGAGCAGATGCTGAAAGTGTCTTAGATTACAACAAATTTCTCCCAAATGAAAATATAGAAAATGTAGTAAGAAAGTTAGGAGAAACATGAAGTTGATCATGAAGGCTTAGTCATCTCACCTGTTGCATGCAAGGTTCATAACTTGAAGGTTTGGCATGCGACCAATATCATCAGGGATTCGCACAATCCTGTTGTCGCGTAATGATAGTATAGTCATTGATATACAGCTACCTAACTGGCAAACAAAACAAAGTTGTGAATATCTGATTTGTGTAATTTTATTGGATAGAAGCGCTTTGCAAGTATTGAAATCATTCATACAATCCACTTCTCCATGATCTACTTGACATAAAAATGACAGGACATTAGATTACTGGTCTTGCTGCCAACCCTTAGATGGATACTAATTTATTACATGTTACTCCAAAAATGACAAAAATACCTCTAATGGGATTGCCTCCAAAAAGTTTTCATCAGCATATAAGATACGTAGTTTCCTCAAGTATCCAATAGAAGATGGTAAACTCTGCAACACATTGTTGTAAAGAAGACAGAAAATACATGAAAAAAAACATTTAAGTCCAGGGTTCAAATTTATTTACTAATATCAAAGCATCAATATGCTCATAATAACATTTTTTTCATTTTTATATACCTTGAAGTAAATAAAACAAATCAAAGATTTACCTCCAATTCATTGTGATTTACCACAAGTTCTTCAAGATTGGACAATCTAAAATAAGTATTTAAAATAAAACATAAATTCACAATAGTCTGATGAATAGCAGTGAAACAATGTGTTGTTCCAGAAACACCCCTCCCATAGAGATTGTTTGGTTTGAACCCACCCCCACTCCCCTCCCCCCCAAAAAACCACCCCCAAAACCCCTCTGGAAATTCCAGTTTTGATTCACAGTGGCCAATAAAGATTTGGGTTTTGACCCCACCTCCCTNCCCCCCCCCCCTAACCCTGCTTGGAATTTCCAGTAACTCCCCTTGGGTTGTGTATAGATATTTTCTTGATACACACAATACACAAAAAAAGTGAAAGTGCTGACAGAAATAAGTAACAAGAACCATAAAAACTCAGATATCAGATTAACCAAGAAGCCAACAATATGAATAAAAAGGAACGTTTTTTTCCCAGAAGTCCCCTTCACTTTACAGTGTAAGTGAATATGCTCTTGTCAAACTAACCAGCGGTGAGAAGAAATAAAGAAGGAGCAAATGAAGTTGAAGAAGTGATAAAAATACATGAATAACCTTCCTATACTGGCTGGAAGTTCTACAAGGTGATTCTCGTCAAGTTTAAGTGTCTGTAAATTTCCAAGGGAACCTAGTCAACACAAGAAGTTCTTCAATGTTAGCAAAAGGATTAAAACAAATTAAGATAGGGAACAGTTTATATGAATAATTCCCAACCAGCATTTGTACATGTACTCAACAATATTTTAGTTAGGAACCAAAATGGTCTACAAAAATAACACAATGTAACTAGCAAGATTCAGGCAAATAAGGGAAAAATCTAGACTCTTTTAATGTTTAGCTGTGTTTGAAAAAAAACACTCCCATTCTTAGACTAATAAATGGTTCATTGGCTTGGGGGACTCCCTTATGAAAAGGTCAAGGGTGCTTGTCAGAGAATTTGAATTAAACCACAACTACTCCCCAGGGTTCATTGACTAGGAGAGTCAATCAAGTAACATTCAGAAAATGATACTTACCAATGTTTTCAAGTAACTCAAGTAACAGATTGTTGGACAAATAAAGATCAGTGAGGGACTGAAGACATTCTATTTCTGGTGGAAGACGCTCCAGCTGGTTTTTGGAAACATCAAGAAACAAAAGCTGTCGAAGGAGTCCTATTTCCTAAAGAAAAAATATCCATAGCATTAGAGTTAATCACCCACTTCACTGAAATAATAAAACCAATTAACCCCACAGGAACCCCTCTGATAGGTAAGCCTGTAAGAAATTCACAGACACCCCCCCCCCCCCCCCCCCCCCCCCCCCCCCCCCCCCCCCCCCCCCCCCCCC